GTCTAACTTCCCAAAGCCTTCCCTCGGTCTCTGGCTCATACTGAGTTCCCTTTGAAAAAATGATGCTTCTGTTGACACACATGGAAGATTTCCAAGAATCATTCTGAACTCAATCAGTTATAAACAGCAGCAGACTTCGGTTCCAATGAGTGCAAGCAAGTTTTAATTCATCTTGGATTTGTCACCATAAAATCATATTGTTAACAGAGGGATAAGATATGTCCTGTGTCTTGAGATGAGTGATCAGCACAGAAAAATTTTCAGCATAACAGACCTTGGAGATAGAGCTGGATTTCTCACACATGTACAACAACAGCTAGTGCTCTTAAATCATGAGGGTTTATGGTACCCTCCTGAGCAAGCAGGTAAATCTACTGATCAGAACTGATTTGCTGCTGCCTTGTCACAGAAGAAAAATCTCAAATTATTTTGCTGCCGAAAATAGCCAAAAGAATAACTGCACTGATTTTCAATTAATGCTAAGCTAACTGGAAAACAGCAAGATTATGTTTTCAACATACTTCCATCCATGATGCACTTCTTGTCTAGAGTTTCAATGTGCCTCAAATAAGGATGTATTAAAGGGTAATGTAAAGTTTAGTAGTTTTTATTACATGAAAAGAAGCATGTGTATGGGCTCTGATTCCTTACTCCATATTGGCTGTTAGCAATTTATTTTTTGTCCTTTTGTTGCCCAAAAAATGAGCATTTTTATACTCATTAGCTACAGACATTAATGAAAATAAACTTCTCAACTAGCCTTATATTCCAACTATGGGGTTTTTTTCCATTGTTTTTTTTATTCCTGGTACAAAAGTTTCCTGCATCTGCCAGGCAGCATGTTCTCAGTAGATGGGAGAAAAACATGTCAGGTACTCCCTGATGGCTTTATGAGCCCTGCATGTGCTCTTTGCCCAAGGCAGTATTCTTTATGTCAGCAAAAAAATGCCAAGCAATGGCTTTCAAGAGATGTGGAGCAAGAAAGAGGATGCAGTGTGAGCATTGCTATATGTTTAAATATGCAAAGAGAATTGGGAAGAAGCCCTTATGATCTTTACACTCTGAATTAGACAAATATGCAAAAATAGATAGAAGCCTCCGGATTATTCTCCAATTCTTATTCCAATATCAGAAACCTGTGCCTGGAGGACTCTAGGCCCTCTTTGCAGTACCAACTTCCTGTTTAACACTGGGTAAACTGTACAGATTTTTTTTAGTGTTTACCCAAATTAGCATTTTAAAATATCTCCACTGATTACATTTTTTCCATTTGTATAGCAGCACTTAATCAATACGGTTATACCACAGGATCCAAAACACTGTCACCTTCAAAATCCTTGCATAACTAGAGGCAAGGGACCAAACATTCAGCTCTGCTTCTTTTCATATGCAGCTTAAATATGCATCTCCACAGTTAATTGCAGTGCTATTCAAAAGAGCCTGACCTGACAGGCTAAATGCCGTACAAAAATGTGACAAAAAAACAAGTGCTCCCCAGAGAACGTGCAAAGTAGGGTGAAATACAAGATATAAGCAAAAACAAAAAGAGGTGACAGGAAATAAATCTCCAGGTAAAAGTGCAATCACTACCTGTGTTGTAAGTGGTTTATCATACCAGCTTCATGATTAAATTTAGAACAGAAACAGCTGCTAGCTAACCACATTCACTGCAGTTGGGTGTATGAGCTGCTGCTACATATTCTTTGCAGTGTTTTGTCTGTTCCTTATCCTTCTGCACTTTACATTTTCCAAAATAAGAGTTCTGTGAACAGTGCGATGATACACAACATGATCATTCAGGTTCATTATGCAACCAAATATTTGCATAAATTAGCAAATGATACAGACACATATTTTGCTGCAATTTTGATTTTAAATCTAACCGAGAGGCTTTTGCTGATGAAATACTGTCTTCTCTTTCTTTGCTGCTTTGCTCATAACATTTAGAAATGTGGCAGGCTTAAATGCCTGATGTTCTAAGAATGTTCACCTTGACAGTAGGACAAGGTCTTACGTTCTTATATATTCAGAACCATGACACTAATCTGTATTCATGGAGAGAATAAAGCCCAAAAACATTACGAAAATTAAAAAAAAAAAAAAAGGAGAGAGAGAGAAGGGGAGGGAGATATTTAATTTGAATTCATTCAGTAATTCTTCATCTATATGCTTGGCTTCTACTTACAACAATGCAAGGATGTGCAGAAACACTCCTTAAGAATTTTACATGCCATTTATACTAATCAGAATTAAAGTTCACCTGAATACTAACAGTATTTTTCTTCAGGAGGAGAAATAGCTAATAAAAACCTATTACAAGTGCATGAAAGTAAACAAACCCATTTTTTAAGCAACAAAATTGTTTTAGAAAATCTAAAAAGTGAAACTGTCATAAAACTGAGGATTTGCCTGCCACAAAACCTAACTTTCAGTTTGATTATGCTATTTAAATGACATCTATCTGCATTTTAATCCTTGCTTGAAAGTCTGCTGGCAGAATTAATAATCATGATCAAAACCCATGAAAGTCCATGCTAATGATAAGATAAAGAACTTACTCCCACCTCCTACAGTGAGAAGCTAATCTTCCTCAGTGTCCTAATCTACTGACATACAGGGTTTGATCTGAAATAAGCTCTTAATAATGAACAATCTGGCTATGAATATGATTCTGCTGAGCAGAAAATTGAAGATTAAAGAAGGAGCTGTGTAGAAAAATTTCTCTCGTTCAAGGCTCCTTCTTTAGTGTCTCTCCCACTTTCCCCACATGGGGAAAAAAAAGCAAAACTCTTTTTTGACAGTTGCTGCCACCTTAAGGACATACACTGCCAGAGCTGGTGCAAGGAGGTGTCCAAAGTGTCTGACTTGCCACGGCTTATGAAGGCACCACTTTGCATTTTTCTGAGATTAGGAAACAAAATCTGCAAGCTGACATTTCCTTCAGTGCACGGGCTCTTTAATGGAGAGATGTCTGAAAGCCAAGTGTATTCTTTTGACACACAGTCAAGGAGCTTGGATTTGGCACTTAAGGGAGCCAGCTTCCTGCCTGTTCAGTTTAACAAAATTAATCTTCGTGTGCATGTACTTTACAAAGCACAGGGAGGCAAAACAAATTACAATTAATATTTATTTACTTCTGTTTGAAACCTGCAAGCAGAGCAGAGGCATTACTGCAGCTTAGCAGACACCTCAACGCTACAACCAGATAAGGCAGACTTGAATAAACCACTGAGGAGCAACGAATTTCAAAAGTTCAAAAGAGTTTCAGAAGCATCAGGCAACTCCATGTTTGGTTACCACAGGTATTCCATGCCTGGTATACCCTTGAGGGAAGGTGGAAATACACAGCATGGAAAATCAGGGCTATTTCATTCTTTCTTTAATTGAGCATCCAGACATTTCTGACAGGCAATCTTACTGATATCATCTGACCTGTGACTGAGCCCCTTCACTGGCATAGCAGATATCTAAGGACAGCTAATGCAATCCACATAAAGGAATGTCAGTCATGTACTGACTTTTGGAGTGTTTTTTTTTTAACAGTTTTGATTAAACAAGTATGGCTAGAAATTTAAAGATGTAAACATGCCCCCAACCATCCGGAACACTAAACAGTTCAACGAGGCTTTGAAGTATAAGTACATTAATGGAAAACATGTTTAGTTTAGCGATATACAAACTACAAAATTTCTGTACTTGTATCGATTTTGATGCACAAGACAAGAAAAATAACAAACACAGCATTTTAAAAATGAGTGCTTCATGAGATAGCCTCAGTCAAAAGCAACCATGCTTTTCCAATTGAATACAGATATTTGTTCGTAGGTTCATTCAGTCACACAACTCTTCTCAGGAAGGAGTGTTTATTTTGTCTAAATTCCTGGTTGAGCTCTTTGAGAAAAAATGGTGATTCCACCAAAGCAAGAAAGCTTAAAATGTGGGCAAGAACACGTAATGAATGGTGAAGAAAATGGTGATTCTTGTCCACTATCTGCTTATAGCAGTACTGTACAGGGTGATGCTGGCAGCTTGGTGAAGGCTCCAGGTGTTCCAAGAAGACTAATGCCCAGGCCAGGCCCTCCTCCAGCAATCACTTCTGCACAAATTGGAAGTGAAAGTGCCTCCTTGTCACTTTGCCACATAGCCAGGCAGGACCTCCAGAGTGCAGCCAGGGCAGGAGGGCAGAGCAGAGCAGGAAGAAGAGCTCACCCTGAGCAGGTGAGGCTGCACAGGGCTTGGTGGCTGTGGGGCAGGCAGAGACCTCCTCCTGCAGTAGGGCTCACCGCACAAGTGACCCCACAGCAAAGCAGGGGCCTGGGTGGGCCTGCTGGCAAGCAAAGCTTCTCTTCATAATTTTCTCCGGTTCCCAGACCCAGGTTTCGTTATGCCACCTTTTGGCCATTTGTTTCTGATTTATTCCTCATCTTGTTCTTCAGCCAAACTCAGAGATTTCCAGAGTCCAGTCAAAAGCCCTCTGGTTTGACGTGAGGCATCCTTCTGTCACATTGTAGCATGCTTCTGGTGACATTTCTCAGTACCAGTTACCTCACGAACCTTTGGTTGCATCTCACGGTTACTGCTGGGAAGCACCACAGCCTTTTCCAGCAGCAGCTATAGGCACCAGCACAGCCCCGGTGTGCCACCTGCTCTCTGAAGAGCTGCTCTCAGCTGATCTCATCAGACAGGCCACAGGGACTTTCTGACAGAGATGTTGGGACTCAGGTGTTCCCAAACATTGCTGATAAACATTCCAAATTTATTCTACAGTGAGAAGGAATTATGATCACCACATTGGACACAGCAAGCTCTGAGTAGATTTTGCTCTGGTCTAGAATTTGTATTGGAGAAAAAACACAAGAGGAGAGGGGAACTTCAGGTCAAGGACAGCAGAAAGTAATGGAGGCTATTTGTCAATCCGAGGCCACTAATTGCCTTAATGACCCTGTGCAGCCCAGCTAGGCCCTGCACCTGCAGGCCATTTAAGCTCAGCTCAGAGCTCTGTCTTTAGCACAGCAGTAGGAATGGTGGTACTGTGCAGAAGGGAGCAAAGTATGGACAGGTAAGAGGTAGCAGTCTGCAAGACCCAGGGTAGCTTGCTTTGATTTCTGTCTGGTAATACCATGTAAGAAGGAAGGGAAGGGGACTGTTGTGGGCTCCTTAGAGGCCTGAGAGTGTGGAGACCTTGAGGAGCTGTGAGGTAGGTGTTACTACTTGCCTCTACTGCTGCTATGGTTAGCTAGGAATGTGAGTGTTCTTAAGCTTCAGATTAATATTGGGTATTTTGTCAGCAGTTTGTTGATGTAGCCCTAATTTAGTTTGTTTGAAGTACTGTTGCAAAGATTTTTAGAAGCATTTTATGCTCAGCTTGTCTCAGTTTTGAGAGCATGCTTAAAATATCTACTGTGGGCACTGGAGTGCAGTGTTTTTTCTTAAATGGTCATCTTCAAAGGCTTTCAGTTTAATCAAAATCTGAAGGTGCTCTATGCTTGTGAAACTTTAGTAGGTTTGCTTTTCCAGAATGATTGTTTAAAGCACAATTTGCTCAGCTGGGTAAATTTGCATAGAACTATTACTTACTGGTGAGGCCTGCCCTTCTCCTCTTATTTGATTTCTGTCCCAACTATGACTTTTAAGAGATGTTTATTCAATATTTGCTGTTAATTTTCAGTCTTTTGTGTGGTTAAATATGACTGCAGAAGTTTTACTCAAATACTGCATCTTGACTGTAGGAGTCATTTCAAGCAGAGTATGTATAGATGTTGGTTTTTTTTTTTAATTACTATTATTATTTTATTTTTTTAAGCTCCTCAGTGTTTTTTAGCTTCAGAAAATGTTAGATACATTTCAACCCATGGGAATTATTCCTACAGACTGTGGAGAAGTGTTTTTAAACATCATGGAAATTCTTGACAATGAGGCTGGGGCACTTGAATGTAGACTTAGTGTGGGAATATAAATAGTAGCTAGGATGTATTTTTCTATCACCTTGAACATGAGATTTAATCTGTGGTTCTCTCCAGCTATTCTGCTGTCCCTGAAAATATCCTTCCTCTAAGAACTGGGTAAAAGAGGCAGGAAGAGTTATCTATGAGATGTGTAGTGCTGAAGTATAGCTTAATTAAATGTGGCACTGTATTTCAAAGTAGTGTCTTTTTGGTAGCTCCATCTGTTGATGGAGTGGTAGATAAAGGCAAGTGATTTCCTACCTGAAAAGACTAGGGGGCTCTTCAGGGGTCTAGGCTAGATCTGAGGTAAGGCAGCAGCCCCTGCTGCCTGCACTGAGAGGGAATAGGGAGAGTTGAGAGCAGACTGCCTTCTGTGTGCTGGTGCTCTGGGCACAGAAGGAGTGACTGCAGGAATTCATACATTACAAACCAGTTTCAGCTGTCTTAGCTTTGTTGAAATTGATTTCCAGCTTTTCTTTCCAATGGTAAAGTGGTACTACATTAGGAAGCCTTGAAACCTTGAAGTAATGTTCTGTCTGGTACAAACAAAGCCCCTAGGGATACATCCATAATGACTGTTTGGGACTTGTCCTTCTCTGAGGGATTACTTGTTTTCTTGTTTGCAGCAACTTGAAAAAGTAGCCAGGCTTGAAGCCTAGCCCAGAGCTTTCAGATAAGCTTTTTTAATAGTTCTCTAACTTACTGAATGCATCTTACTAAATCATCCTCAAGTTGTTTACAAATGGAATTAATTAAAACTTGTAATAATCAATGGAATATATAAGTATAGTATAAAACAATGCTAAAGAAAAAAAATTGGAAGAAAAAAATAATTGTTTCAGGTGACAGAAGAGCTGGGTATGGATCTCAGCAATGCTAGTCCACCTCCTTTCCCATCACATTTAAAACTTATCTGAGACTGCATTTCAAGTTATGCAAGTCATCAGCTAATGCGTTGAGATAATGTCCACCCACTGAAGACCTTCAGTTCTTCCAAGGAGCAACTTGGAGAAGAAAAACCAGCTTTATTTTCAAATCAAGGACAGTGAACTTGGAGGTTGAATTTCAAACAAGGAAATGAGCAAGGAGAAAAGTGCAAACAGACAAGCAGTGTCAAACAGCAAGTGAATAAAAAAGCATAAGGGGAATGCCTGCCCATCAAGGAGCTCTGTAGGGCATGGGAAGATCAGCATCAATCACTCAGTACTTGCCCAGTGTAATGCAAGGGGTGGCCATTAAGTCAGCAGGTGAACAGGGGAACTGAAAGGCTGAGAGAAGTGCAAGTCCTTTGATGCTCATTGCCCCTGCTGGGATCATGCAGATTGTCTTAAACCATTCCATGAGTAGAAAAGCCAACTCAGCATGGCAATTGCTTCTGGCTTTTTACTTGAGGAACTTGAAGTGGAGAGAATGATACTTTTTTTTTTTCTTAATTTGGAGTTATAGACATGTAGTGTTGAAGAACGCAGTATGCTGTGGACTGCAAAATACAAGCAGGAGAGCCCCAAGAAAACAGTGTTACATCTTATATCCCCTGTTGCCTGCTGCTTATCTCTTTCTCTCCTGGTTCCTCCTTGGCTGTGTACTGCAGGTTCACACTCTTTCACAACGCTTCTCTAATCATACAAACACCAAGTACACAAATCTTTGCTGCCCATACACAAATGTCTTAATTGATTAATTGTCTTCTAACAATTGCTTTCTTAACAAATGTCTGGTCATAACTTTTTGGATGTCAGTTCTACAACATAAACATAGACATAGCCTCAGTTGTTTAATTACCCCCCCTAACGTTTGTGCCCCTTCACACTGGGTCATTGTTCTGGTCATTCCTCTATCCTTGGACAGAGATAAGCTTGGAAGGAGGATAGAGGGGAGTATCTTGAAGCCTGTCTATGGCATCCTAACATTCCCACAAAGTGGGACAGTTCTGCTTTGTGTAAAGGTCCTGACTCCTTGAAAGTTTGTTAAATGTATTTTGCTTCTGCCAGTCTAATGAACAACCTTACAATATGTTTTCTAGCTCAGAATACTATACCCATACTGTTTAGAACGTTCAAAATCTATTGCAGCTTTGTGAGAAAGTATTTGTTGGGTAATTCGGTAACGATGTTTCTAAAATATGTTACTAATATGTATATGGTATTCGTATTCTTACTTTCCACAACAGCTGTTTCTAAGGATACATTACAGTTTAATTCTTTAAATCAATTTCCCTTTTTAACGTGGAAACAACACTTTCACTTTCCACATCAGTAAAGGAATGTATGGTTTGTTGCAGATCTCTCAGCTTCCCTGTGCTTTTTAAGACATTAAAGTGGTGTTTTTTGAGAACAACTCATCTGTTTTGATGAGAATTAATGATAGTGTTAGTATCAATTTTGCCAATTATATTGGGTAATTAGCAAAAAGGATTGGGAAATCTTAACTGATCTCCTGACCTAGCTGGACTTATGGCTTTACTAACTATGTTAGTAAGTTAGTTATGATAGTAGGTATACGAACAGATCAGATTATGGTGTTAATTCCATTAAAAACTATGGGGATATTTAGATTGTATGTTTTGAAAAGTAGTAGAATATTATTTGCATGAAAGGGCAGCTTTTCTGTGTCCAAGCAGCATCGCTGTGCTTAAATGATACCAGCTTTGGGAAATGCTGAAGGAAAACTGTTTTGCATGAGTTTTTTTTATAAGCCACACTTGAAGTTTTGTTAAATGGCTGTGTGGATGTGTTCTGCCATATTATTTCATCCTACCTAATGCTGCCACAGTGTAATAAGAGGGCCCTATATGCAAAGGTGGGTAATGCTTGTAAGCAGCTTGAAATAAAGCACCTTAATCCAGTGTGTCAGAATCTGTACTGAACTGCAGCAGTTCTGAGTGTACTTTGTAGACCAAGCTTTCTACTTTTAGTAGGAGGAGAAATATGCAGGGGAGACAGCAGTCTGGGCAGTGTTTTTCTTGATGTTATTTGTGTGCAAGCTAGAGTAGCATAAAAGCCAGCACTTTGACAAGGAAGAAAACAGTTGATTTGTTTGTTGTTACTAGGAGAAAAAGTATTGCTCTAATTATGCAAGCATTTGCAAATACTATTTGGAAGATGTCAGAATAGAATTTGAATCACTGGAGCTATTAACTGTAGTGCCAAGCAGTTTTCCTTACAGATGCTTGCACTACAAAGCTAACCCAGAAGTCCTTTATTGAAAGCTGGGTCTGTTTGGAGAATATCAATCCTGGTCTAATGACCAGGATGGGTGTAAGGTCCTTATTTGGAAGTAGTAGGAAGTGTCTGTCTGCAGATGTTGGCTACACAAATTGTATCATCTGTGTGTCTTCACAGACAAAATAGCTTCCTTTCTGCTTTCTTGCAGGGTCTGGTATTCTTCAGAATATCAGCACCGATTTCAGCAGTACCAGCTCTTACTCCCTGTTGAAGTGTTAACCGTATCCCTCCTTTCAAGCAGGTTGTGGCTTCTGAAATGGAAACACTTAATTTAGATCAAACATCACAATAATTTGTGACATAATTTTGAGGATAGTTTCTAGTCCAGGCAACCTGCTGTGTTCCACCTTCTTGACCTTGTGCAGCCAAGACTTGAATTGCCTGCTAAATAACCTACTGATGTCAAATGTTCTAGCAGCACTGTTTTCAATGAAATATATTTATAGCAGTGCTTTTCCTGGATGTGCTGAGAGTGCTGTGATCTAATTTCTTTATTGTAGGGTTATGTGCAGCTTCAGACACAGGGTAAGAAGAATAAAATCTCCAAATATTTCTATAACAAAACAAATGGACTACAGAAGGTACGAGTTACAGAAACTTGTCTTGCATACACTCTGTTTTCCATAGTTCAGAAACTGAAATTGAGTTCTGTAAATGTTTTTATAGTTCAAGAACATTAAATTTAGGAATATTCCGAACCTGAGGTTAAGAGTTGTAGGTGCCAGGAGCCTGGACAAAGCAACAACTAATAGTGATATTTTAGATTCCTGGGGAAACAAAGTCATGTTTCTGGCTTGATCCTGTTCATTTTGCATTTTTTGTCACAATTGCGCGAATCAAACGCTCATCTGTCCACCAAAAAAAGGGGGGGAGCAAATGCTGAATGTAAATTTGCAGTAAGGAAGGACACAATCAGAATACTGCAGACTGCCTTGATTCTGCAAGTAACGACATAAGACCATAAGCAATTTCTAGCTGAGACAGTGACTTACAAGGCTGTTTCACACTGTTTCCTAGGCAATACTTACTCATCTGGAAAATAGCTGCTTGTGAATGCACTGTACAGACTTCTGGGTTACTCTCATAGATGTCACTGTTATGAGTGCTCTCAGATACTCTTGTTGCTTTCTATTCAGACTAACTTGAGTCAGATGCTATCTAGCAAATGGAGTTAAACCCATGTAAAATAACCAAAAGATTGGGCGCCTGTGTTGTAGTATCATTTGATGTATTGAAAAAGCAGCAATAAAGGCTAGGAAGGTTTCCATGTTGGGTGGAATAAGATACCATGCATATGGAAGAAAATCCTGTGTACAGCATTTATCTCCAACACAGGATATGAACTGCTTGAAGGATATGACTGGTCATAAATGATTAATAGATATTGATTCTAGATCTAGATTCTTTATGTCTGTATGGGAACTGCTGAGTCATGGCCTGAACCTCTGATTGATCACCTGAGGTGAGCAATGAGTCAGCCAGAGGAGCACAGGTGAAGGCAATTCTCCTGTGCTGCTGGAAGGGATGGAGCCTGGCTGCACCTCTCCTAGACCTATTTAAGAGCTGACTACCAGTGGGGAAGGATCTCTTCTGGAGATCTGCTCTGCTGGAGTTTTGTAAGCAAGCCCAGGACTGGGGTAAGCTTTCTATCTATCTGTTATCATAATCTGCTTTGCCAAATGTTCTTGTTTATTTTGTAATTATAACATCTTAATATTCATTGATTATACAATGTCAAAAGATAAAACAAGTTATTCTGCATTGTAAGTCTTTCACACACTTAATAACGTATATGTTAAGGTTTTAAGCAATGTTTTATTCAAATGTTACTCCTTTGGCATGGCTGGATTTTAGAAAAGGATGCTTTCCTGTTTTCCTTCTTGTTTGTATCACCTCCAGTAGAAAAGCTGCTTGGTCACCTTTCTATCTTGTGTTGCATGAATCTCACTGGCTTTTCTTATTCTTTCCAATCCGTGTATGTGATAGACGTGTTTGGCCAGAAGTGCTGTTGGAGGAAAACAGCTTTAGATGAGCAGATGATGCAACAGTTTCACTTCCTTGACTTCAGTGAAGTAGTGTAGATTTGAAGCAGTTAAATTTATGTATGTCGAGGCTCTTATCCAGGACTCTCAGGCTACCTAGGCTAACAATAAAAATAATATCAATTTGTTGTAGGATAACAGAAGAATGTGGCTAGTGGTCACCATGTGCCTTTGTGTGCATCATGGCTGCTCCTGTCTGTGGCAGTAGTAATTAGAGAAAGCGGCAGGAATTGTTTAGCTTGTCTTTGATTGTGACAGCTCTTCAGGCTTGTGTAAAATCACTCTGGACTTTGACATATGAATGCTATATTCAGTGCCCTTCATGTGATTAGGTTGCCAGATGTTCAGGGTTTTGAACATATTTGTGACTATACATCCCAAATGAATCTAGCTTTCTATGTACTTGTACACTGGAAAACAGGATTTTTCTTCAATACCCTGAAATAGGTGAAGACTTGAAGATGAAGTAACTTTTTCAAGGATTAATGTGGCAGCACAATTTTAAATGTACTCTGAATTTTTTTGGCTAATAGCTGATACTTTTCTTAATGATTAGTTTTAAAATCCATCATTGAATTATTAGCTTGAAGGACACTGCAAATGAGCGCCATAGGTACCGCATTTACATGTTTAATTGGATTAGTCTCCTGACTTTCAGATCCTAGTAATTAATTTGCCTGGACATTTTTTCCAGATAGCTAAATGATTAATCTTTTGTATTTCGGTGCATGGATTCACATCATACATTTTTACATTGAAGTATTAATAGTTCCTCATCAATATAATTCTGCTGTTGCTACATGACTTACTGCTAGAACAAACATTGAAATAAGTAGAAGTTATTACTTAACATAACTATGCTTTAATTTTATGAGTAAGTGAACATATTATATAAATGTTCATCAAATTGTGAAATAGTTTGAGACTGTAATGCCTAATCTTGTGTGAGCAGAATCGGTAAACAAACATTTCCTATGTTCAATTTTATTCATGTTTGATAGCTATCATAGCTACTTGGGCAAAATGGTTGTCATCATCATATGCTGAAAAGTGTCTTTTTTCAAAGTTTAACCTGTTAACAGGTTAACAACCTGTGTCTCCCATTGGACATCCCTTCTGCTTGCATGGTTTTGTGTGCTTATAATGCATCTTACACAATGAATCCTTGATTCGACTTCTGACATGACAATATCTCAATCTGTTACTTTCATTACTAATAAATAATGCTATGTCTTCAGAACCTTCCATAATTTAGGCCTCTTATCAACCATGATGTTGTCAGTTTGGTTCTGTGATTGGAAACTAGCAGGTAGGAGGCAGGTCATCTTTAGAAGCCCATGCAGCTGCTGTTAATTACGTATCTGCTGTGAGTCTTGCAGGGGCAGCTTCTAAGAAATATATATATATATATATATACATTTAAACTGAAATATTACTACATGAAAACATTAGTCAGCTATAGTAACTGCACTCACGTGAACTTCCATATGCTGTTACCCTATCCATAAGACTATGAATTAGCAAAGCCATCAGTATGTGACTATTGTAAGGATATTACTATTGCTTGTTTTTATTTCAGAGTAAGTTCTTATTTCACTGTAAGTTCTTGTGTTAGTTTGTGTATGCTTAGCATATAGTCATCCAAAATAACACTTGGTGCCTTCTGTGGAGGTTCCAGTTTTACCTCTCCGAGTTTCTTCCAGGTCTGAAGTGTCTCTGGGTAACTACATGAGTAAAACAAAAATGAAATCAAAAGCATGCGTATTAGGAGTATATATTCAACAGACTAAATACTTCTCTGGTGAATATTAGGATTCTTCCCCTAGTTTGTTGTTTTTTTTACATTTATTATTGGTGAACAGGAGACTAAAATACCAGTGGTGTGTCAGAACAGACTGCTTTAATAGTGATGAAGAAAGAACCCAAAATATAGAACTTGAAAAATTACATCTCTTCAGACATGTTGAGGCCATAAGCTTTCCTAGCCAGATCTTAATCCATTATTTAAAAAAAAAAAACACCCCAACATAAGCCAAATGTTAGACAGTCCCTCTGGCAAAAGGCCAAAGCTGAACTGTTAGAAGAATATGAAAAATCCTGTTATGCAGGTTTCATGGGACTTCAGGCTTCAACTCTTAATATATTGCTATTTCCAAGTTCATTTCCTTAGGGGAGGGCTCTAGTGTCTTTACCAGTAGAAAATGCCTGTTTCTAAAAAGATTTGCAATGGATTTGATTCTCCACAATCATAACTGAACAAGATAATCCCTACAGGATATTTCAGGGCAAGAGCCATGACAGCACACCCAAGAGCAGTGACTAACAGAAAATTCAACCGATATTAATAATCTCTTATTGCAGGCATTACTATCTTATTCCACTTGCATGGAAGTGAGGCAATGAGCCTGTATAAAGCAGTGCCAGCAGGGTGTACAGGGATCCCTTTTTAATGATTTATCACTGAGCAGGCCCATTAAGATTACTTAGTGTTGTGCAAGTTCTTTCCTTTTTTCTCATGCTTCTGTAGCTGAACCTACCAGACCACACTGGTCCCTTCTTCTCCCAAGTGGCACATATAATTTCAGTTAAATACATCTGGAGTTGTTTTGTAAATGGAGACACTGGTGTAACATGAGTGAAACTGCTCCCTACCCCAAACTCCACTAAGGTGGAGCTTGAAGCACAGCTGTGATGCTCTCATCCTCCGTAGCAGAAGTAGTCCTGAGAAGGTCTGCCCACCAGGGGAACTTTAATAAGTTTCTGTAAGTCACCTGTGGCCATTTCTGCTAGATAAAGCAAGAAGTGTGTGAGCAGCAGAGTGGTGATCACACTAATTGTACAGGAAAAAGCTGTGACCTCATCTTCTGAGTGTCTGTCTTCAAGCTTTAATTTTGTTTATTGCATTTTTTTATGGTGTCCCTTTTATTGCAGTAATGCACAATGGAAGCTGTGCTATGACTTGAGAAATCTGATTATTGTGATTTATTGATAGAAATCATAAGTAGTCATGCTTGGGCTTAATGCTTCTGGGTTCAGAAAATGTATTCTAATTGATTTAATTTCCTAATTCCTCACAGATTCTGGAGAACTGCTAGGTATTTCCTGAAATACCTATTTAAATAATTGTTCCTAAGCAACGAAGAGTAGAAAGCAGCTGTCAACTCCTTGAGATTTGGCTTTGCTCAAGCAGGAGTCTTGGTGACCAATTCAACAGCATTAAAGGTGGGTATGGGCCAGGTGGAGCAGGAAAACCGTAGGCTGAATGTCATTTGTGAAGCAAATGAGTTGGCACTGGTTGATGGCACACAAGCCCTCATTAACTTTAAAGAATGAGCGAATGATTTGAATATATTACTCCTTTGTTTTTCTCTTCAGGAGGGCAGGCTGCTCCTATGTGGATATGAGAGTGAAACTACATTGGGATCCTGAAGTAATATAGCTCTGTTAGTTATCTAGTGATGCTTATTGGCTTGGGCACAATGCCATGCTGGTGCAGCTGTGTGGTTTCCTATTACAGGGCTTAGATCACTTGGCTTGCTACCTGGGGAGTCTGGTACACTCATGTAGATCTTAAGTGCTGCTTAAAATACATAAGAGGAAAAGAACACTCAATTCTCCCAGCCCAGACTAGTGCTGTTTCAGTATTTCCTTCATTGCTTTATTTGGTATTCATTCCTGCATATTCCATAAGTCTGCTGGGATAATTGAAAGGGGAAAAAAATGTATGCTGCAGTAAATACTTCTTGAATGAGAAGATGATGGAACTGTGTTGTTACTCAAGTCCCTGTGTTTTGGGCATGTTTGGTACACCATAAAATTAGGGGTGCACAAACTTACAAAGTATTAAAAGATAAAAAGGATGTCTCAGCTTGGAATTTGTCTTGTACCAGCTGGAGGGAGGCACAGATACTCTCCCTGCACTTTCTCCCAGGCAGGCAGCTTGGATCACTTCTCATGACTACATAAGCAATGGAGGAAGTTCAAAAGAGGTCCACTAAGGACTCAGGTTGCCCTTGGTTACAATTACAGGTAGATAAATTTAAAAAAAAAAAAAAAAAAAAAAAAAGAAACCTAGCTCAGTGTATTTTTGGCATCTTGATACTGTGCTCTCTGCTCCTTGTGTCTTCCAAATCTTGTATGCTGCAATCCACTGACAAAACCAAACTTTATTACTGTCAGCACTTCAGAATCAATATCAATGCAGAAAAGCAAGCTGGATTCCCCTGAGCCTCACGAATCAGAACTTAAATTGTCAATTGGGTTATGATCCTGCATCCTTTGTGGTGGATGATGCCTGGTAATGACAACGGAAGAGTACAGCTTGATTTATAATTACCAAAATGAATGAGCTTGCTGTGCTGACAGATCAGAAATGTAATTCTGACCTGAAATAAGAGTATGACTGTGTAGCTAAGCCTTTTAAACAGAAGTTTTTCTCTTGTGAATTGCCTTTCACAAACAATGCACTTGTTTACTTGCTGATAAGATTTGTAACCTGAATCAATATTACTCCGGCCTTTGTTTGATGCAAGGATGTAGATACTAGTTACAACAGTGAATCACTTGCATGCTCAGAGCTCAAATAACATAAATTAAGAGAATCTGTGACCTTCACCATTTCAAACCTAGTCCTACTCAGTTAGGAGAGAATTGCATTTTGACAACTGTATGACCATCTGTCTGAAATGAGTGATGTGAGCTCCCTGTGCAGTCACTAAAGTTTAGTTCCTAGGCTACTATCAAAACCATCACTGTTGAGCACTTCATTTCCCAGCCTCAGGAGATGGGAATTACTGCAAATGGGCACTGAGCCCAGCCCCTGCCTTACTCCTGCAAATGGGTTATGCAAAACCCTTGAAGGGCTGAGTCCTTGGCGAAGAAAGGAGGGACCTGCAGTATGGTTTTATAAAGCAAGAAATCCTCTGCTGAGCAGTGCAGAAATTGAGGACTTTTGTCAAAGTAATGTCACATCTATAATGTTCTTTCTGCATATATACCACTCAGTCTGTCTAGATGCTTTTTGTTTTATAGTCTTGGAAAAGTGTACTTTTGCATTTATTGTCTTTTCCTATGTACCTGTCTCAGGTTAGATATGATGATTTTATAATTGGTTTATAACTGGATTTGAAAATTGTTGCAATTAGGCTGCACACATTACACCGTTCCTTGTTTAGAGAAGATTAAACAACACTGAAAGAAAGCATTTCACCTTTTGCGGAATTCATCAAGCACATAGCTCGGAGTTGTACAGGGTACAAGAGAAATTTCCCTTTGTCTTTGAGTCTCTACAACAATTTCTCCAGAAAAAATGTTCCTGTGCTGTGATTTATGCGCATAGCTGAGCTCTTACAAGAACACTGTATCTCTTCCCTAAGGTGTGCAGAAAGCTATATACTTCACACTTACAGTTAAGGTTCAGTGCTGGTATTTTCACACATTATTAATGCAGGTAGGAGAACTGAAAACTTGAATGACTGTGCTGTCCTCTTCTGTCCCTGTAAGCCCACAAGCTGCATGCAGTTATGAACACAAAGGCAAGAGCAATAATACACCAGAGAACTGAAAGCTGCGAAGACTGAGAACTTCATACAAAGAGAGAAAATGAGTCTTCTGCTGTAAGCCTTAGTACAGACCAGATTCATCCTATAAGAAAAGAACTATCATTGATATGGGTTTCATTCCTTATTCCTTAGAGCTGGGTTATGAAGAAAGGTTACAGTGTAAGTCTATAAATAAGGAATGTTCTTTCTATCTGTATGGATTTGCTAGCATTACTTTACGGCTTAATACAGAAAAAGTTTTCATACTGAGGAAAAACATGGAATGAGGAAATGTGTATACAGAACACTGGGTCACTTTGCTGGACTTACCAGTGAGGTTGTGCCTGAAAAGTTAACCATGGCATGACTCATGCACAGATGAAGCAGGAGAAAATTGCTTAGGATATTTCTACCCTGTATTCTTCTAGCTTTTGGTTTATGGATTGTGTTGAAAACTACAGTATGAAAATTAAGAGAGAGGACTGCAAAACCAAGTAGACAGTATCTACCAGATCTGAAATGCCTTTCTTCCAAGGTTTTCATATCTGGCATGGATCAAGAGAATGAGACAGTCAGAGGCTTGTTTCCATTGCAAGTAAGGTTTGATCACCACCTGGGTGTTGCTTCTCACTTGAATCCTCACCGCATGTGGAAAATCCTTGCCTGACAGAGCTTCAAATAGAGCTTGACTTTTTCATGTGAGTGGTGCAGCAGATAGATCTAGTGACTGCAAACTGTCCATTACTATCCAGGCACTGTCAGTACCCCCAGTACTATTTTGCAGTGGTTTTCCCCGAGATGAGGTTAGCTTGGTGGAACTAGCTTCATTTGATGTTTAGGTGATGCTACGGGCCCAAAGAACTACACTCAAGGCTTTAATTGTGGTTCCAAACCAAAGAACAAATTTAAAGGCTTTTTGGGTATTAGTGTATTAGTCTTTAGGTATTTAGGTATTAGTCTTTAGGAAAAGGAGATCTTACTGTATTTCATAGGCAAATTTAATTGCAGCATAATACAAAATTATATAATCATAGATAATTCAATTATTTGGAGACCTCAAATCTTTTTGAATTTAATATTTAGTCTGGCTCCTCAGTGATCAGGTCTAACCCTTCAGGCGACATTAAGGTAACTTGCAAAAGATTTAGAAAGATATTTAAAATTGTTCACTTGACACTCCAGGTGGCAACATCAACATAGCTGTCAGGAGCATAGCAGAGCTTAGACTTAACCATGCCTTTGTCCTTACTTTGTCATTTGGACTTCAGATTCTGAGGTCCAAATAGCACAAACTAGCTTGTGGGAGGATTAGCTCCCAAGGTTAAACTCAATTGGAGGGCTGCATGAGAAGTCATCTTGACAATAGCCATAGTAATGAATCCCGTTCTTTTGTGGTAATGTTTTGAATCTTGATTCAGAGAACCCATCCTGATGGGGTATTTTGTGTGTAAAGCCTTTTAAATGTTTTTAGCTGATCTTTTTTTTAAAAGAACCTTGCACTGTATGTTGCTGTATTATGTTCAATCAATGCTTTCCTCATGCTTGAACCACAGAAATTGTATTTTTGTCATTTTATTATTGTAATCTGCTATGCTGTTAGAATGTAATACCAAACAGTATTGTGTTATGACTTCTTATATTTAATGAAACACTATTGTTGATGGTTATAAGTTAATTTATTGCTGGTGAAAAGTGTTAGACTGGCAATACCAGATCATAATGCAAGCCTTGCTCAGTTTACCCCTTCATTACTATTGAAATCCTGATGAATAAGAATTGAAAATATAGCAAGCAGTGCTCTCAGTGCATCTGAATTGGAGCCCGTTATTTGCAATCTGGCTGATGGAAAGTTTGTAGTGAACAACAGAAGGGATTTCCAGAGTTCTGCTCAGCATTCATTGAGTAATGTTAAATCAAGGTGCCTGTGAAGCATAGGTGAATGGTGTCTGCCTTCTGTTATGCTATCTGCTTTGCAATCCTGTTTTCTTTACCCCAAAGAATTAACGAAGCCATGCTGTAGGTGCATTTAAGAGGAGAGTTTGGTAGATGTGTGGAGGAGGTCTGAATGGGCATTTGAAGAGGAAAATCAGATGGTTTAAAAACTGTAGATGTACATAAAATGTTCCTTAGTAACTGCAAATAAAGTGAGCTTCTGGCAGGGTTCTCAGTTAAGTTTTTTTGCCCATATGTGATTTGTCAATGTGGACAGTCTCCTCAGGGAAGAGGTGATGATTGATAAAGTGTGTAACACTGCAGATCTCAAATATGAAGATATGGATGGCTTGGTAAGCTAGGGACTGGCAAATATGAGGTTTTTTTCAACATGGTCAAACCTAAATATGTCCATAATCAAGATAATAATAATTATAGACTGTTCTGGCAGCAGTGACAATAGAAAGCAAGGCTGGCCTCCTAGGAGGTAACCAGTTGGAAGACAAATGTCTCTGAGATTCTGTGGCTGGAAGGGCTATTCTAATTCCTGGACTTCTTAGTAGGGGAATTCACCTTTGCTCTGTCAGCAATGCTGTTCCATTAATAGTCTGGAAAGAGCAGCTCTTAAAGAGTTGCTGAAAATATTCCTTGTAATACAAGCCTAAGCATGCATTCAGCTTACTTTGTTAAAGAGCAAACTTTAGAACTGAACTTATTATGGTTAGTGTGCATCTGCATGGGAGATGATAATGAATACTGTGGAGCTTTCTGCCCTAAGTAATGAAATGCTTTGGTTGAGGCTGGAAATTTTTAGATGAATTATTCTTTTTGGTTTTTTTATACTTGGAATGTTCTTCCAAAGGTGGTTATTACATGTTTTGTAGATCTGACATCTGTAGAAAATGTAGAGGCTGGATTTAGTTTTAATACACTGCTCTACTTCAAGAATAAAATAAATAATCACAGAATCACAGAATTGTAGGGGTTGGAAGGGACCTCCAGAGATCGAGTCCAACCCCCCTGCCAAAGCAGGTTCCCTACAGTAGGTCGCACAGGTCGGCATCCAGGCAGGTCTTGAACATCTCCAGAGAAGGAGACTCCACCACCTCCCTGGGCAGCCTGTTCCAGTGCTCCTCACCTCACTGTAAAGAAGTTCTTGCGCACATTTGTGCGGAACTTCCTATGCTGCAGTTTCCAGCCGTTTCCCCTTGTCCTGTCTCCACTCACCACTGGAAAGAGTCCGGCCTCACCATTCTGCCCCCCACACCTTAGATATTTATAGACCTGGATCAGGTCCCCTCTCAGTCTTCTTTTCTCAAGGCTGAACAGACCCAGTTCACTCAGCCTTTCTTCATAGGAGAGAATTACTCTGATTTGTCTAGCTCAGACATTCAGAATCAATGCTCATTTGTGGATTTGCAATTAAAAGGCTCCTGATTTTGCTGAGGATAAAAGGACTACTTAACTACAATTATGAAAACAAAACTGAAAAGAGGGAGAACACAAGTTTAAATGGAAATCTTGATTTCACCATTGTATGCAAAATTAGGTAGTTGAACTTCATTCCTAACTGCTAAGACTATTAACATCTCTATTTTAGTTAATGTTTTAAAGTTTAGTTTAGCCAACGCATTCATGTGGTTTTTGTGTACATCTATCTACTCTGTAAAGTTGATCCCTGACCTCTAGTAATTTTTTTGAGCCTTTTAATGTATTTGTCAATAACTTTCCAGCGCTGGGATTCTCAGGAGCTAATGAGATATTCCATGCACACTCCTGTTCAATGGCATAATGCCTCCAGTTATGCAAGCCAAAAGTGCCCATTTGACTCTTAATTAACTATTTAATAGTCCACTTCAGTTTTTCTGATCTTCTTGCTGTGCTCCTACTGTTTCTTATGCCCTCATTTTTCAAAGAAAATGTACTGATATCCACTTATTTCTGCATAACTATGAAGAGCTTTTAATCAAATTGTCAAAAAAATTCCACTTATTTTATATGAACAAAACCAACCACCCAGCTAAAGTCTATTGGCTTCATGGCACCATTTAATAAAACCAACAACCACGTGATTGGAAACAAGCTTTCAAAATTCTTGTGCAACTCCTTAACAGACCCTGTTGCTATTTGAGCCAGTTTTGCTCTCTTCCACGTGAGCAGAATGAGTCCTTTTGGACAACATGTCTATCTTTTATCAAGTACCTGGATGTATTTGTCTCTGAGAGCAAAGATGTTTAATAAGAAACTGCTCCAAAAGATCACTTCACGGTACTCTAAATCCCAGAGGAAACATGATGCAAATTCTTTCAACAATTCTCTTTAAGAAAAGCTCAGAGTGAACACTTAATGTTCTAATGGTTTAATTAAGGTGAAAGATTAGCATAGTTTGTAGAATACTTTTTCTGTCTTGTAGAAAGAATAGTGAGCTAGTAAAAATCGTTAATCTGCTGAGTGTGAATAGATGTTGAGATTAGAGCACAGTGCCTGACATCTGCACAGTGAATTATTTGTGGCAAGTTTTTTTTCCTCTGAATGTCAGTTGGTTTTATACACAACTAAATTCTTCAAGAATCTTTTCCTTCATCTGATAAAATAGACTGCCACAGCTGTTCAATCAGGGATTTACACTGCAAGCCAGAAAAGCGCATCAGCACATTTAGAGATAGTCAGTTCAGGCCACAAAACAAACCATGTACATGTGTAAAGTTAAACTCCTGCCTTTCTGGATCAGAGTGTTAACAGCACTCAGAAAAGCCTCTGCTCCATGACTACACTTTTATTAAGCAGAAAGTAACTTAAGCCCTTTGAACACACAGGTATTTCACTCTCCTCAGAGAGCAAGTAACAAGATGAAACTTAGATGTGCCAGCAGAAACGATAAGTTACTTTATTTCTTAGTTCTCCTTATAAAGGGCAATTTCTTTTAATGCATGAAAAATTTAAATTATTGTGGTATTCAGTGGGAAAGTGGAAGGACTGACTGACTTCTAGCCATCCTGTTGCCACCAGGGAATCCAATGAGGCAAACAGGAATCTTGTTCAGTGCCTAGGGGAAGCTGGCCATCTGGGAGCTGGATGCCCAACCTGAGCACGGGCCATCAGAAGCATAAAGTGGAAGGGGAGAGAATGCCTTAAGGTTAGACTGCCCTTTGGCAGCAGATGGCACAGGAAAAGGCAGGGACAGAGCTGCTAATTCACTTTGTTCTTCTTCAGTTTGTTTCCTCTGGACCCAGTACAGCAAAGACCAGGTGCTGGGGCAAGTCCTGTATTCCTTTGCTGCACACTCCAAAAAGATGAGATACTGACCCAGGATTTTAAATGTCTGTATTGGATTTAGGAGATTAGAGATGCAGGCTGGGGAAAGGATATAAATCCTTCTGAGGATCTATTTGAAAACACAACTAAACCCAAAGCAGTGAAGAGCCAAAACATTTTATCGGAGGAATTTCTTTTTTGTGAAGAGTCTTACCGTATCTTTACCAGATAAGGGACAGATGCTTCAGATCCAAATGTACTGAAACTTGGAAAGAGAAAATGTGGTGACCTGTTTGAAGAACTTGCATTTCTTGTTGACTCGCAACTTGATCCTTTCCAATTTTTATTTACAAGAGCTCCAACAAAATCACTCGCTGTTATGCCAAAGTAAAGAGTGGCATTTGTGAGTCTATACCAAAATCTCTCATCTTTTCCAACATTCTTCAATTCTGTATGCAAGTTGTCTGAGCTTTCTAAGGGAATAATTGGCTTATGCTGCTCATGTTTATAATCCCAGATTTAAGGTTTCTTCAGAGGAACTAATTTTTAACCTGTCAAGGGTAATAAATAAATAAAACTGTTATTTAATGAACACCTGGCAAGTTCCTAGTAAAAGATAATGTATCAAAAATAGCTGTTTGATTTTTTTTTTTTTTTTTTTTTTTTTTTTCAGTTAATTGGAACAAAAAACAAAGCATTCTTCTGGAGCAGTGTGATATTTCACTAGATCTGATTCTATCCAAAAGCTTATACTGAATAAATTACTAATCCTAAAGCTTCCACAAAAAATAGTTCACAGCATTCTTTTTGCCCAAGCTACTCCTGGCAGGAAGCTAGGAGAGGACTTCCAAAGCTCTACCTTTTTGTCTTGCAGAATAAATTTCACTCTTAAGACTTAAAGAGATTGTAATTTTTCCCCGCATTTTATCACTTTAAACATATCCTAACAATATTTCTGTATTTCTCTAACTCTTACTTTACATAATTAAGCAAATGCTCCTGCAGAAAACTGAGATCTCATGCTGAGAAAATAAGCATACAATATAGTGTTAAGCAACTGAATACATGCAGAAATGGTCACAACAGCAATTCATAGGAATTGCATGTCCTTACAGGATTTTGCTGCAAGGCTTTCCTGGCACTTAAAATGCCCACTTATTGTAACAAGCTTTTATAATATGAAATCATTCATTTGTTCCTGAGACTTACTGGGAAGGTTTTGGGCTGCAGCTAATGAATTGCTCCAGGCCCCAAAGCAGCATTTTAAATTACTGACTACACTCAGGTATTCACACTTTCTGATTCTTATGCTGCATTTTCACTGCAAGAAACACAGTATTCCTCTGAGACCAACAATGCC